ATGTGGTAGGTTAGGAATCGTGGTTCTGTTTTCTGCACAATTTTATTCTGTAAGTACTTTCCTTTGCAACACAGAGGCTTCACTGTCTCTTTACCACCAGCGTACATGCTCTTCTCTGGGTTGTGTGGCTCAAGTATCTGGCTTTGAAATCAGAATTCTAGCCGTTAACCAGAACAAATCATTTTACTTATCTGAACTACAGTTTCTCAACTTTAAAAGAGAGTCGACAATATGGTATCATATAAATTAGAGCATTCAGTGAAACTACATATAAAATTGCTGGCAATGTGGCTGGCATTTGCAATCATTCAATAAATAAATGAATAACTATGGGAAATTCATAAGAATCCAGACTCTACAGCAGGGAGGTTAGACTTTGCTTTTTATGAGGGCCGTGGTGGAGTCATCAGAGGCTCGCAGGCAGGAGAGGAACTTGAGTTTGTACTCCAAAGGAATTGCACTGTAAACGACTTCGGTGCTGACAGGAGGGGCGGGGTTCAGCAGGGAAGATGTGGCTCGTAGCACATCACAGAGACTGGGGCACACCGAGTGAGAAGCAGGGTGGGGTGTTTGTCAACACAGGCGAGGGGATGGTAGGAGATGAGAGGCAGCACTGTGGTCAGCTTGGTGAAGAATGTGGCGAGCCTGAGAAGCTCCCTGGGGTCCATGAGAGCAGCCAGATAGGGGGGTGCACAGCTCTGGAGAGAGGTCTGGGTTGAAGCCACTTGAATTTTACTCCCTTTCAAATTCGTTCAGATGTGGCTGCCAAACACACACAGCTCCTGTCGGCACACTGAGAGAAACCTTCACTAGACCTCCACCCCTAGCTGTGAAGGAGCCGCTCACACCTCAGCCACAGAGTCACAGCTCTCTCAAGTACCATAGAAGACAGACTCAGGTAGGGTTGGGAGCAGATAGGCGACGTGCCTCCGAGGCAGAGATTATGAGGCTTTGCAACTATTTTTGGCGCCAGAGTGTCGGAGGGTAGAAGATGATGAAAGGAAGTGATGGCGTTTCCAGCTGACTTCTCCGTTCACACTTCCCTCTTTAATTTTCTCTTGCTCTAACTTGGGGTGCAAAACAGCTAACTTCTATTGCAAAAATACTGTCCCTGAGAATGTGATGCTTTCTCAACTTGTCTCCTTTCCGGTACCCTTCCTCATTGTCAGCATCAACAGTGCAACTACAGAACACAGCTGTGTTGTACTGTGGTCCTCTCTTGCTCAAAAACATGAACTGGTTCTCTGCAGTCTCTCAGATCAAGATTGAGGCCTCACCTAAGGCCGCTTGATTTCTGTGCCTTCCAGTGTATTTGGCCAAATGCTGTCCTGCCTGCATGGCTTATTTCATGTGCTGACCAACAGAACCTTCTGGGATGATGGAAATGTCCTCTCTGATATTCAAGACAGAAGCCAACCATGACACTTGAAAGGTGGCTGGTGTGACTGAGGAAATGAATTTAACCAAATTTCTTTTAATTCATTTCGCTGTATGTAACCATTTATGGTGGCTGGTGTCCTAGACAGCACAGTGCTAGCTAGGGGCTTGTGCTTTCTCTTTGCTAGCATAATAATGGGTTTCTGGCCTCTTGGAACTTTCATTTCCCACTAGTTTTAGAGTGTTTCGTAAACACTGAGCAATCGTTTTCTCAAATTGCCTCCCTGGTCCCCCTGCATCCCTCTCTGCAGCCCACGTCTAGCTCAGACCCTCCTGGGGGTGCTGAGAGCGTGCACTATGAGCACAGATACTGGCTCACAGGCAAAACTTATCACGGCTCTTATTTCCTTTATGAGAAACTCCTCCATTAATAGTAACAGGTCTCTTTGTTTATTTCATCTGAGAACAGGTCACACCCAAAAAGAAGAGCAATTGTTCTAAGAAGCTAACAAAGTTAGTCAAAACCAAGAACGACCAAGCTTTCTTCTCTGAAAGGCCTGGCTGTTAAGCCATGCTGAGCTTTAGGACGGGACATCACTCTGAACATGAGACAGAAAACTCCCCTGCTTACTCACTGGCTCAGTGAGCTCCCCGTTGTCAACCCATATGCCCCATGCGTGGGTTAAATTCCAGCCCTGTAGAGGTTTGTACTGACACATTCACATCTTCGAACTTGAAGCATAGCCCAGGACCGATGGTCACACCAGCTATTGAGAAGGCAACAACCACTCAAGAAACACTGGTGGATGTATGCTGAGTGACATCACTTCTGACTATGCAATAAAGCTAGTCACATGTAGACAGACAGGTGCTTGATTCCTGTCTCAAAGCCATCCAGCCCCCTCTTCTTCAGGTCTAAGAACACAGAGTCTTCTTGTCTGCTTCTGACAAGGCATTCTGCAATGAGGAGGTACTTCTAGGGGAGATTTTTTTGTTGTTATTTTTGTTTTCGTCATGACAAAGCATGAAAAATTTCCCAGAAATAAGCACAAAACAATACCCCAGCAACTGAGTTCTGTTTTGAGTGAATTATCTTTAGTCTGTTATGTCTTACTGGCTCCTCCTAACCTCTGCCCTTCTTCCACGCTCTGAAGACTCCATTTCTCTGGCCTCCCATCGTTGTCCTAGCAAGCTCTTTGGGATTCTGGGAGTAACCAGGGGGCCTGGGTTCTCACAGCCACCCTGTGGCTATATGTGCACTTCTCCAGTGTTGTCATCATTTGGTGGCATTAACCCAGAGCCACATGAAGGTTCCTTTTTACACTCTTGCAAGGAGCCCTGGCCCTATGTCTCACGCAGCCCCATGTCTCACGTTGCTTTGGGTGGATGGTCACAAAATCTTACTTGGATGGGCCACACTGAGGCTACTATAGTGGGGGGCAGAAATATCCACTGCCTTACTCTTCCACAGCCCCCAAAGGTTCTGCATGTGAACCACATTTCTCAATGCTGTTCACATCAGCTGTTTATCTAGAAGAGATAAGAATGCTTGCACTAACCGTTCTGTGACCTATGGGGATACGGAGGTCATATGGTCCTTCACATACCCTCCCTTCCCACTTTACCCCTGCCCTAACCCTTCTGTGGTGCCTTTGGATCATTTGTATAGTCTTGGAGTAAGTGATCAACCCAGGGAAAGGCCTTGAAGATGGTTTCTAACCAAGGAGCAAGACCTAAAATAAAGTTCTCAATTGGAGGGCCAGATATACGGATATAAAGCAAATCCTTTTTAATTGTGCTACCAATTTGTCATTAAAATATCAAAATCTTTTAAAACGATAATCAAGCAGATGTGCTTTTGTGACAATGTTCACTCAACAAAGCATTGCACCAAGTATATTTTGCAAGCTCTCCAAGGTCCCTGATGAGAAGGAAAGAGTGACTAGCAGCTGGAACCCAGGTGTAAGACTATTACAGGGACTTTATAAGGTCAAGGGAGCCCAGTAGGGCAGAGTTTTCTTCAGACAGCGCTGTAGAAAAGTGGAACATTAAATCTAATTCTGCATTCAGCTGGAGTCAGTACGAGAAAAGCTATCATTTTATATAAAATTCTAGCATTCAAGGTATGCCCTGACATGAATAAAGACTGAAAGCCACAAGCCTACAAGGAAATAAAAAGAGAAGAATTAAAAGCAGTGGGGAAGAGTCAGGAATTCAATAAATTAAAGACAGAAATGAGGAAAGGAAAGTTGATGAAGGATACTTAGAAGTAGAAGTTGAAGAAGCCCTTGAAGACAATTTCTTCCTTGTAGTATGAAGTAAAATTACTTGTTGGTAAAATTGAAAGTAGAGTACGCTCACCTTTGAGCAGAGACTGTGGTAAATGATTCGTGTTTATTTAATCGCCACAATCCCATATAGTAGGGACTACGATTATCCTAGTTTAACTAGTAAAGAAACCAAAGAATATACTTTATTCATGGTAAAGGAGAAAAAAACGAGAGGAACTGGCATAATCAGATGGGAAAAATGGATGGATTCAGAGTGGAGTTAATGTTTAGTTCAGCTATGTTATGAATGTCCTTAAGATCAATGAAAGTCCAATAGAGGGATTTCTAGCAGAAGGGGAGAGATGTCAGCTCTGAGCATTAGCAAGCGTGGTGATCAGCTCAAAATCAAGGAGCCAGAGACCTCTAATGTAGTTTTGGAGTCCTTAGTGAACTAACTGGGAAAGAAAGAAGATGGGTATCTGGAGGAAATGTTGAGTGGGAACTAGGGTGGGTTCATGGGTAAGAGGGAGTTATTCTAGGTAGGGGTCACTATGGAGACAGAATGTGGGGGCACAGGTCAGAATTCAAGTGACGGGTGAAACTGTGGGAAAACAAAGCCAGTTGTGTCACATAGTGGGTGGAAGGGTCTGGCTTTAAGTCCTGCTGCAAAGGTCTAGTGCCTTGACACCCTGACTGGAAAGGTCGGAGGCATTATCCAGAGGCTCTCGGTTCAGTGTCAACTCTCACTGGCAAGAGGGCAAAAGGGCGCTCGATGCGTGGCAGGAAAGCTCAGGAGGTGCCAGCTCCCTGCAGCCTGGCCTCGTGGAGAAGGGGTCTGTTGGAGAAGGCTTCCATTGGACAGGGAGTCCAAGCAAGCACGCTGGCGCCTCCTCCGAATGGGCTGCTGTGGACAGACGCCCAGGCGGCTTCCGGTGGCCTCTGCAGCTGTGTGGGACTCACTCTTAGAAAATGAGGCATTATTTTCTTCTCTCTCTTGTCAGATACTAACTCCCACGCAGGAAAAGGAAGCACCTTTTGTCAGATGCCGTGGCCACTTCCTCTTCAGAGGGCTCCAGCCAATCTCTCACTTTGCAGAGCGGGGGCTGGCAGCAGCTGCTGGCCTCTACATTGGCCGTCTGAGTCTGTCACTGCTCAGGAGCTGGAAGGCCCCTCAGCTCCTGTCTGAGTCTGCGGGGATTTTCTGTGATGCAGATGTGGACCCCTAAACTGGACTTGCCTGTGGCCCTCCTTGCTGCCCAGGCCCCCTTGGGGCTTCCTCTCTCATCTCCTGCCCACTTTTTGCTCACTGCTTTATGTCTCTCAGTCGGTCGGCCGGTCTGTTCCTCTCCATAGCTCGGTCCAGGAGCGTGATGACCGGAGAGCAGATGGCGAACCTTCACTCTTCGTCCACCCCCAACCCTCTGGAAAGGCCCATCAAGATGGGCTGGCTGAAGAAGCAGCGATCCATCGTGAAAAACTGGCAGCAGAGGTACTTTGTGTTGAAGACACGGCAGCTCTACTATTACAAGGATGAAGAGGACTCCAAGCCACAGGTACCGGCTGGATGTTTATCTCCACTAACATGGCTCTCCTTCTTGGAGCAGGCGGGCTGTAGTTCAAGAGAACTAGGCACATTCATTTGTAAAAGGGATGCTTTCATCTTTTCACAGTTGTCTAGACTCACAAACTGAGTTGCAAAGATGACAGACAGAGAGACCTCAGCGTAAGTGCTGTGGAGTTTCCTAGGGGTGTCGCTAAGTTCAGGCTTACAAGTGGTGGGGACTCAGAGTCAGAGAGAGTGCATGTGGGTTCCAGAAAAAGGACTTGGTGCTTTTGATTTTTTTCTCAATAAATGCATGTGAAGCATTCAGTTGTTGGCTGCCCATGATGAGCTCATGCATAAATGTTCCGATGATAGAGTCTGTTCTAGGTACTTAAAATAAATCAGTGGGAAAAACAGGTGAACCATCTCTGCCATATAAAATGTAGAATATGGACGAGAGATAGAAAATAGATATAATAAAGGCAGAAAATATGTCGCTTTTTAGAAAACAGATTAGCTCTCTAAGGAAATAAGCAGAATGGTGTAGGGGAGGCCAAGACTTTGGAGAAAGTATTGGTAATTTTTAAATAGGATGGTTAGCGTGACCTCCTAAGCAGATATTTATGCAAATACTAAGGAGGAGGGGGAGTTATCTAGGTGGGTTTCTGGGAAAGAGCTTTCCAAGGAGAGGGAGCAGCTGGAGCAAAGGCCCGAGAGGGAGCGTGGTGGAGGATGGCAGGTCAGTGTGCAGCCCAGAGCTGGAGAACCAGAAGCAGAGAGGCCCAGCTCAGAGAAGTGAGAGCAGGGGCAGGGGCACAGATTGTGACGGGCACTGTAGGAAACTCTGACTTAAACATCTACAGCAACCCGGGAGGCGTTACAGAGTTTCAAGTAGAGTGGTGGCATTCTTTAGCTTAAGTTCTAAAAAAAAATAACCCTCATTACTGTGCTCTAAAATAAACAAGGAACTGGGCAGGGACACAGAGATAATTTAGGTAAGAGGTTACCACGTTTAGGACCTCAGTAGAGTTGTGAGCTAGTGGCAAATAGATTCTAGATAAACTTGAAAACAGAGCAAATAGGACTTCCTGAGAGAGTCATGAGGCTGGGAGAGTGGGCCCTGATTTAATCTTGGGCCTACGACTCTTCTCTCGGCCTCGTGGGTTCTTCGTGCCCACTGTGGGCTGCGGGAGTGAGAGAGGGTGTTGTTGGCAATAGCCCTGGAGTCCTAAGTATAAGCTGGATGTTGTGGAGAGCCAGGATGACTGAACAGCACCCAGGGACTCTGTCTGTGGGGCTTCAGAAGGATAGGACCGGCCAGAAAAAATGTATTAGGGCAGACAGACTCTAGAACCTTCTGGAAAAAAAACTCAAGAATGGTGAGGCTAAGAAATATGTGGGTCTTAGGGGTGGGTGAGCAGGCGATGGAATACAAATGGAGCAGTCGTCTGTCTGCAGAGCGCAGGTCTCTTCAGGGCAGGCTTGCAGACACCTAGCACAGCCATGCGTCCCCCTGGAGGCCCTGGGCTCACTGTCGCTGTCCCTGCAGAGACCAGAGAAGGCCTGAGAGACCCTGCCACAGGCCGGACTCTTGTTAATGCCCTGTGTGGTAACCAAACTTCCTTCCCTTTATGAACAACACAGACCTTATTAGGGCCGAGCAATTCCCAACTGAGACAGTGGTGGAGGCTGCGGGAGGATGACGTAGGAAGCTTTCCACTTGCTGAGAGCAACGCTTTGGCCATCACAAATCAAATGACAAGGCCGTCGCTGGTGTTGGTTCTCACAATGTAGAGGATGACAGGGCTTTAATGCTTCCTAGCTCCACCCCTGTCTGGCTGTATAATTTTTCTGTATCCTTTTTTCTTCTTTGATCAAATGAGACAATCCCACCTCCTCTGCGTTTGTTGCATGATTCAATGAAAGGAAGCCTGTGTAAAAAGTCAATTTATAAACACATTAATTAATGCCAGATGGTAAAATAAGTATTTGAAGGGTCTTGCTTCTTGTTCCACTTCTAGGAAGAGGAACCCCCAAGCCTTCTAACGATTAAAGTAGCCTGGGATGATTAGAGGAAGCTTTTTCTAAGATGGCAAGGATGATTTAAGAAATCTATCAATATAATACATCAGATCAGTAGTCCAAGTGAGGAAAAACCACATGAGCTCTCAAAAAGTAGTTGGAAAAAGGCAAAAAATAAAATCTTTTCAGGTACACAAAATCAACTGTTAAGAATACAATATTTCCTGAGAAAGCATAAGTGTATTTTACTGTGTGCTGGTGGGCATACTTTAATTGCAAAGGATATACATGAACACGGTAGTAAATTTGGAGAATGCAGAAATGCACAAAGTAAAATAAAAATTATTCACAATCCCCTCAGCAAGAAATAGCCACATGAATCCAGCCTTTCTTATACACATTTATAAGATCATCTATTATATATGCAAAATTAGTTTAATATTACTTAAGTAAAATAAAGCAACATGTCCTGTCCTGTCCCTTAATATTAAATATTATTCTACAATGTAATTAACAGTAGGAACAAAAACCACGTATTTCTTATCATTGGAAACATGGCTTGATATTCATGTATTATTATCACAAATCAGAATTAAGAGGCTATCCTTATAGAATTCATAGTTATTATTTCATTATAGAACAGTTTCATTATAGAGTAACTCTATAGAGTTATAGAATTCATTATTATCTCATTAAGGTAAAGAAAAAACTCTAAGTCTATTTAAAATAATGTTAACTATACTATCATTTAACATTTGTTTCCAAGACACTGAAAATACATACAAATGAAATGAAAGCTACAGAATTGAGCTACAGTTTTGAAAAAAGGCAAAGGTACTTTCCACATTGGATTTCACACCATTCGTGATTCTGAAAAGTTAGAAAATTAAAAGGAAAGAGTGAATTCATAAAAATGCCAGAAGAAGATATAGTTGCCTATGTAACTTATTTTTTAGTTTCTTCGGTATTAGTATATAGCTTCAATGCATGATAATTGATTGCATTTGTTGTAGGAAACTGTCCACACATTGGTCCTCTTTCTCTTCCTCATCTCCTGTTTCCCCTCATCCTCAGATACCCTTTGCATCTCTTAGAGATGGGAAACTGATTCTCAAAAGCACAATGAAGGCTTCACCAGGAAAAGACTAATTTCACAAATAAAAATGTATCTTAAAAATCAGCATGATAAAGTCAGTTCAAGTGGCTAACGCGAAAAAAATGTGTACTATGTATGGTAAACAAATGTCCTTAACATTTAAAGTATTTTTCAAGAGTCATCAGAAAAACTTGCTCAATAGAAAAGTGAACAATGGCACACATGTGCAGTTCAAGAAATGTAATACCCAGTAAACATATCAAAAGTTCAAGCTCAGTAATGAACAATAACACACGATGTGAACTAACGGGACCCCAGTGCCCTCTTAGCAAACTGGGGAAAGTTTTCTAGAAATTTTAGTAAAGGGGAACTAAGAAACAGAAATTGTTATGCAAAGTTCATAGAAATGAAAAACTGTATAAACTTTCTGGAAGCTATTATATTTTTAAAAAATACAGACCTTTGACCTACATTTCTAATTGTGGGATTTAGCCTATAGTTTTTCTGTTAGTTGAGCAGGTTTTCTGTCAGTGGTGTGGTGGTAAATGCTTCTAAAAACAGACTCCCTGCTGGGAAACTGATTTGAGTACAGTATTTGCCAATTTTTGTGGTACAGAAACATCTGTGTCTTGTACAGATATTCTCAACAGGACAAACTCAATGTATCAATGTGATATTACTGCATTCAGAACTGAGATACACACTAAATGGAAATTTCCACCACATCAAGGAAATAAATGTAATCAACCACACAACAGAAATAAATATAGAAAACAACAAAGAGGTGATAAATTTTAAGGACTATTTTCTTTTTTTGCTGTAAAATATCATGTCATGGGTTTACACAGCTGGAGAATGGCGGTGCTTAGTTAGCAGCCAGCTCACAGAGTTCCTGAAAATGAGACAGTCTGTCTTCATGAGCCCGTGTGAGCTGGCTGTAGCACATCATTGCCACGTCTGCAGGACATGTGGCCTTCAGCGTAACCCTCCCCAGGCTCTACACGGGGTCCAACCTTGTCAACTTGCAAAGTCAGTAAAAACACTGAAAGGCCACTTGGGTCCTTCCCTGTCTGTGACAGTTCCTCCCTCCTCAGTGTCCTTCCTCTCGCCCATCTTCCTCTCTCTGTCGATGATGTTCCGGGGTCGCATGCATAGCCGGAGGGAAGGGCCTGCACTGCTGTATCTTGGTGTGAGTGAGTTTAGCTCCAGCTGTTATTTATTCAAGCAAGTGAGACTTGTAAGGAACACCTTGTTTGTATCCTTTTTACTTCTGAATCATACAGACCAAGGCTTGAAACATGTCTTTCCTGTTAATTAATTCCGATCTTGGGTTGGCTAATTAACTTTTGTAAACCTTATTTCCTCATGTCTCCAGTGGGGGAAAATAATCATCTTCCCTCCCAGATTTTCTATGAAGATCAGATGTCCCAATACATATATATTCAGAGCAATCAGCGGACCTTGTAACTATGTATCTATCTATCTATCTATCTATCTATCCATTTATCTATCTATCTATCTATATCTATCTATCTAACTGCATATATATATATATATATATATATGTATATATATATACAGGATGAAATGATTTCGTGTACCAAATGACACAGGGAAGGCAGGACTTCTGAATTTGCCTTGCTTTGGTTCCTAGCAATATCCCTTCCTATCTAGAAGTAACATGACCTTTAATTCCGGTGCTGCAATTCATCCTAAGTAACTCATGCAAAGTAGACCAGCATCAACACAATTGGAAAGCACTGATCATTTAGGGAACCAGTGAGGGTTTCGTATGGGGAGAGTTTTTGTGTTTTGATTTTTTTGTTTTGTTTTGTTGAGACTGGGTTTCACTGTATATTTGAGGCTGATGCTGAACTCACTATGTAGCCCATGGTGATCTTGAAGTCATGATACGCCTGCCTCGGTTTCCTGAGTATTGAGGTTACAGGTGTGTACCGCCACATCTTGCTGAGATAATTTTTATGTAATAAAATTAGGGGATGCTGAGGAACTGCAGAATTCCAGTTTATAGATGGATTTTTCTTTTTTCTTTCTCTCGTTTCTTTTCCACTTAGTCTACTCTTCCTCCTTCTCTTCCCCTCTTTCTCACTTGATTTTGGACTTCTTTATTTCTAAAATCTTAAAGAACGTTTATTCTTCAGCATCGTGAATCAGTCTTTTATGGGAGATTTTAAGACTCCTCTGCCCTGAAGGCTTTCTCTGTTACCAACCTTCTTCATTCATATTTAGTTCAGAGTAAAGACACATGGGTCTCTTCAGTAGCTTCCCCATCCAGTGAGATGTAAATTATGAATGACTAACTGCAATAAACTTGATAATTTTCAAGTACCAACTCCTTGCCTACAAAGTAGAAGCAATAAACCCTCCCATGTTCCCTGATATGGAGCTGTCGTGGAGGTCTAAAGGGTACTGTGTGTTCCAGTCCACTGCAAATGACCAAGCAGCGTGCACACACATGGTGGAAGGCATGTGTTTTTCTGATAACATGTGGGGTTATACAACACCACGTGTCTTACTGAGCCCTCCCTCCAGGCTTGCATCCAGAGGTAGGGGAGAAGGCTTAGGCTGAGTCTTCCCTATCACCTCATCTGTGATGGTGAGGAGCTCTGAACCCACTCCTGGGACAAATAACTGTTCTACAACCTACTAGCTCTGATGGGCAAATGACAGAAACTTTCTGGGGCTCAGCTTTTTTCACTTACAAAATGTGCATAACGATAACGCTGCTCAAAGTATTGCTAGAAGAATTAAATGATTAACACATTCAAGGTGCTTTATAGAAAGACAGACACTTAAAGCTGGGCATAGTGATACAGGTCTGTAACCTCAGCATTCTGGGAGGCTGAGGCAGGAAGATTGCAAGTTCTAGCCCTCGGTGGGCAATGTAACAACTTAGTGAGACACCATCTCAAAGTAAGAAGAAAGGGGCTGGGTACGTAGCTCAATTCGGAGGCTGTAGATTCAGTGTCTAGAACCACAAAAAGAGTGTGTGAGAAAATGCAAGCACCTGGACAGTGCTTCTCAGTGGCTCTTGCTGCTGCTAAGTTATTCTGTCCTCTTTAATGGGTACCCGGGATGCAGTCTAAAGTGCCCCCTGGGATGTAGGATGCTCTCAACATTGTCTTCAAGGAGATCAAGAGTCTAGTTTGGCCATGAAGTTGGGTCTTGGAATGATGGGATGGGGCAAGCGCTGGTGAAGACACCCTCAGTCATCCTCCTGTCAGGACCTTGTCCTCGCTGGGTTCCTAGCTTGCTCATGAATGGCTGCCACTTAATTTAACTAATGCCTGAACATCAGCAGAAGAGTCCCATTCAAGCTGAGCGGCCAGGTTTCCATGTCCCTCTCCACCTATCCTCCTCTTCATCACATCCTTACTACTCACCTGTTCTCTAAATTTGAGTCCGTAGGTGATACAGTGCTGCTTCTCTTAAAAGCCTGCCTTCAAATTTTCCAGGGCTCCATGTATCTACCAGGAAGTACCATAAAAGAGATTGCTACAAACCCAGAAGAGGCTGGAAAGTTTGTCTTTGAAGTCATTCCAGGTAGGTGGATTCCAGATTAATTCTGAGAGGTGGGAAACAGGTGTATTGCATTCACATGTTATTTCTGGATCTTGGAAGTCAAAGTTTCAGTGAGTTTTTCAACCAACTAACCAATTGTTAGGATCAAGTGTTGGTTCAAATATAGTTAATGGACCCATCCTAGTTGATTAACTAGTACCAAGGACCTCAGTAATGTCCAGGAACTGAGCAGGTGCACATTCACTTCAAATCTAAAGGCATTTCAGGAGTGTGAGCTTGGAGCCAGGCTCTGTACCAGGACTGAGACACTGTGTGAAAAGTTTATCATCTCTGATTAATCCAAGCGAGCTCAGTCTAGATGGTGAGTGGAGCATTAAAATATATATTTAACCATGTAAAACTGTCATTTGGATGAGTTGAAAATGGTGGAAAGTCAGCAGTCATATATGGCTCAACAGAATTTAATAAAAAATGATAGTTTCCTCTTTCTATGCCCTGGGCATGTTCTGGGTACTATTTGTCATGTATGAGGTGTGATAAAAGAAATACAGCAAATGTTTAAATTAAAAATTATTACTGTAAAAGACGCATCACCACTTATTACCCTCAAATGCACCTCTCCCATCATCCTTGCATGCTTTGAAGCAGCTCTGAAAATCCTCTTTCATGTATTTAATTGCTCCGTGATGGCTATGTTGATACCCTTTCAACATACTTTCATGGTCATTGTTATTTGGGGATGAAGGCAGAAGTCTCACAGTGCCAGGCCTGGTGAACAGGGGGAGGAGGGTGCACCATAACGTGTCATTTGACACAAGTTGCTGTGAATGTTTTGAGCTGATTCAGCACATCCAGACGGCCATGAAAAGATCCTCGTGAAAGGACTTCCAGGGCTGCTGCAGATCACGTGACAAGATAATCACATCACGGACTTCGGCTCTAAAACCTGACAAATGGAAATAATGCCCCTCCCCAGTATATTTCAAAGTGGTAGTATGTTTTCTAGGGCATCTTTTATCTCTCCTCCAAGCATTTTTTTACTTCCCATTTTATGTCTGGAAACACAGCTCTCAGGATTGTGCTGAATGGCCCGGGCTGCTGTGGACTAAACCTCCTGTCACAAGAGCTGATTACTGAATGGCAAGGTGGATTTATAATTAGCTTTTCCCAAGGAGCAAAATAAAGGGAAACTCACTGATATTGAGTCAAGTTCAAGAGATCAGAACTAAGAGCAATTTCCATGTCTTTTGCTGTCTTGAGGAAAACACAGGTTTGGGCAAATATAGAAGTTCGTACAGGTGCTCTGAGGAAGCCTGATGTCCTGAGAAGGATGGCTTGAGGTTTTCAAAGGCATTTTGAGATGCAACACAATCCTATAATCAAAAAGGACCATACTATTTTTTTACCCTTCCTAAGACTTTTTTTAGCCAGCTAAAGAAAATTCTAAACTTGCAGGTTTATACTTGCAAAGATGCTCATGGAAGATGCTAAGGTTCTAGTCCCTGATCTGCTACTAACTATGTTATCTAAGACCTAAGCTTGATAATCTTCCTAATTATAACTGACTCTTTCTGAATACCTGCAACTGAGCTCAGGGCTGGTTTAGCATAGTATCTGTGATTGGTCTGCTGCCGGGCGTCTTTAGAATTCTATGGGCTGATCCTGTCACCTCTACTGCAGGCCTGAACTTCCTGCTCCTTTGGGTAGGAAATGGCTTGTGTCCACAGAAGCAACTCTTGATGAAAGTTATCTCAGTTTAAACCATTGTGTTAAATGCTTTATTGGTAGAATTAGAGCTTTTGCAAAAACTGTTATACCTAAACGTGGATACCTAGTTCCCCCGAGAATCACTGCATGATGGCTTTGTGATATTTGACTGGCAGTGCTTCATCAAACCAAGGTATCAGTTCCGATTCAGCCTCCCTTCTCTTCCTCTTCTCTGCCCCCAACTCCATCAGTATAAGGCTTTCGTATGTGCCACTTTTTCCTCCAGCCTCATGGGACCTGAGTCGCACAGCACAAGACTCCTATGTCCTCATGGCCAGCTCCCAGGCAGAGATGGAAGAATGGGTTAAATTCCTCAGGAGAGTCGCTGGCACACCATCCGGAGGTAAGGACCTTGCAGGCTTTCCTGCGCAGGTGTCTGTGGCATATCAGGAATGATTGGCGTGATCACTCCTTGAAAGATCTCAAGGAAGACCAGAGAACAGCTCTAAACCATGGCCATAGTCATGGTCATGGCCACGGTCATGGTCATGATCATGGTCAGGTCCTCTGTTGAGTGGGAACAAAAGAGGGTTCAACGAGTCTAGCTTTTCTACTGGGTTATCGAAAAAGTCAACTAAAAACTTCAGATCAACTACAAGTGGCAAGTTATCCACAGTGATCAGCAAATGCGTGTGAAACCCAGAGCCATCATTTCTCCTTTGTGGGCCAGAGCACTCTCACCTGTGAAATGCATAGGTTGGATTCCCCAGGTTCCCAGCACACTGATTGATGCCACTCTGGGGATTTGTTCAGTTGGGGGACCTGAGGGACCTGAGAGGCTGACAGTAAGATCTGTAACTTAGGCTGATCTGCACAGGAAAAAAAAAGCTGCTGTCCTGAAGTTGGACGGTTGGACTAGGAAAGTGTTACATTGTGCAGGGAATTCTGCTTGAACACATTTCTGGGTTGCATGACTGAAGCGTGTGAGTTCTCTAGGAACATTAGTGATATTTCCATGGCAGAGAAGCATCCTGACTGCACACAAATCCTCAAAACACAATAACAATGAACTAACGCAGAACAACTTTGAAATGCATAAACATATTTTATGCTTTCCTCGTTTTCCATAAACATAAAAGACTGCGGTGCACGCATGCACAAGACCCCGCTTTCCTTCAGCTTTTTAGGAGCACACCTCCTTGTGTCAGTTTCAGGGTAACAGTCTAAACACATAATCACTTACCGACTTTGTTGTCTCTTATTTTAGAAACCGTTTATGGCTGCTTTTGTGGATTAAATACCGAGTTGATTTGATTTCCCAACAATTTCTTTCAAACATTATAAGTATACACAAGGCTTTGATAGAAAAATATAAAAAGCTTTAAACTATGAGAAACATTTTTATGGTTATTTTCCCAGCCAGTGTTCATACGCTTATACATTTTCTGGGATCATAAACATAGACTATATGCCACTTAATGCCTTTTTATTTTATAACTTCAGAATTTCTCCACGTTGCTATAGAACCATAATTGATGTCACCCAGGGATGTAACATAATTGATGTAAAGCCACAAAGAAGGCTTTACGGGGTGGATCCAGGAGCTACTCAAAGAAACTACAGGGAAGCAGTGCCAGGAGGCCTCACAAGGAACAGGGCCAGGGCACTGATCGTCGACACTGAGTTTACCCAGCCAGTGTCTCTGGGACCACGCCTTTTCTCATTCTATTTCTTTTCCTCTATCCTGGCTGCTTTTGTCCAGCCAGCAGCCCCCTCAGTATCCCCGTCCCGAATGCTGCTGTGCGAGCCCCAGCCTGCCTATGCCTTCCCCCAGCCACCAGCTCAGTCCCTGCAGCCCCATTATAACCTCTGAGGAAGCAATTCTCCCCGGCTCAGTTTAAGTCAGGAGTCCAGCAGCAGACCAGGACACGGAGCAGCAGGCAGCTGCGGCCTGTGACCCACCGCGGAAAGTTTTGAGAAAAGAAATGATTTGACTGGGCCCTCCACACTCAGGAGTGCTTGCCAGGCCACCCCTAAAACCTGTGTCTGTGCTACAGCTTGTGTCTAAATGTCCCCCAAAGCCTCATGTGGTCATAGATGGGGCTTCTTGTTTGTTTTTAGAGGTGGCTGGATCTAGAGCATGGGGTTAAGGGTGTGTGATTACTAACTCAGTCTGCTGATTGGCTTGGCATAGTTCTGGGTGTGGATGATGGGAGGGTCCCCCCGGTGTGAGTGCGTGTGGAATACAAGGGACAGAAACGGGGCTGCTGTTGCTGGCCGCTGGCTTCCTCTCCACTTCCCTGCTGTCCTGCCTTGTCGCCTTCTGCCTGCCATGGACTGTTTCTCCGCTGCAATCCCTTCTGCTGTGCTTTGGAGCCAGCTGACCGTGAAATTAACTCTACAAACTGAGCTAAATGAACTTTTCCTCCTCTAACTTTGGGTGTCGGGTGTTTTGTCTCAGCAAGGAGAAAAGTAACTAAGACAGTTCCATTACAAGCAGACAAATACAGTTTTAGTAACCATTTCCCAAACCCTAACTACACTCCTCACTTAAAAAAAAAATACTGCTATTGTGGCTTTATGTGTTAAAGCTTGACTGTATGTTATTACAGCCTGGATAAAGTTGGCTGTGACCTTCTCTATCATCCCGGATTATGAGATTGTGGCTCTGTTACTTCCCCGTGATGGGCATTAGACTGGTAGTCTGCATGACAGGAGTAGCAGATGTCACCTATTATGCACCTGTTCTGAGTCAAAATGTTTCCGTGTGCTTTCAGTAGGAGCTGGGCCTTCTGCAATGCTCGGCTGAGTCTGCCGCGGTGAACTGCTTTACCCTGTCCCGCTGCGCAGGGGATTTCTCTCGCACGCTGCCCCAAGGCCACCACCCCAGAAGTAAATCAAGCATAAGTCCTGTAGGTGGTGGAAAGTCCGTGACAGGGAAATTAGAACATGGTGCTACTTACTTATGCAAAGAGCAGCCTTGGCTCTGATGTGGCCTCTTGAGTGTTTTTAAAGTTACTCTTTGAACCAGCGTCACAGGTCCCAGAATCAGAAGACATTTTAACACAGCAGTGTGCCATCGATGGTCACTGGGCAAATCAGATATTTGTTCTTCCTGTTTGTAAGTCAGGGAGCTTCTGTCTTAAAAGACCAGAGGACCCATCTAAGGGGACTAGAGACATTTCTGCGTCACAGCGCCTGTAAAGCACCCCTAGATCAGTAGGGAATGCCCCCGGATACTATAAAGTCACAGAGATCCTGCAGCTGTGTCTTTTTGGCCTTCCGTGCAATTTCCTATCACACTTCTACTTTGAATCTGCCAAATTCTCACTAACTTCACAACTACAACCGCAGTTGAGAAGAAATCCTTTCTTGTTCAAATCATAGCCATGGCCCCCAAGCTCCCCCCCCCAACATTTTCACCTCTGCTTACAGTTTTTCAGTCAATCAAGATGAGTCTGTTAAGCCGTCACCCAGAACAATCTTCAATACCTGATAGCTTTCTGTCTTAGTGTAAAAATCAAAAGCCTTCTATGGACTTATACGAGGCAGTCTAACCCATTTACCTATCTATCCTTGTTTTCTAGAACCTCTTTCTAATGCTAGTTTCACCAGCCCCTTCAAAACTCAAAGGCCTGCTCCTGCCTCAGGGCCTTTGCACTTTCTTCTGTCCCAGAATCCTCTTGTTCTTTATCATGTGGCTCAAAAATCATCTCAGTAAGATTATCACCTTCTCCTGATTGGTTATTGAACACTTAACATGTACACTTCTGTAACATACTAAAAATTTTACTCCCGATTTTGGTCATAATCTCCCTTGACTGTGATGAAAACTTCAATCTACTTGTCAGAAATTGACTGTTCTCTGGTTTTCCCTCACATTGCATCCCAGATTCTAAACAGTGCCTGACATAGTAGATGCTCAGTAAATGTGTGTGAGGTGACAGGGTGAAGGACAGGCACCTCATCCCACAGCAGTGTCCCGTCCCACTCCTCCAGCTTCTCCTCTCCGCTGCACGCTCGTCTGAGAAGTGGCTCAGTACAAGAGCTGCTCTCTCCAGAATTATCTGCCTCCACGCTTGTCAACGGTGACAAAGCTCTTTAAGGCTCTAAGATTTCCTTAGAGAATCTAGAAAAGCTCTGGGAATTTCCCCAGTGTCATTCACAATTTTGCTTTTAGCAGCAGGATATTTTCAGACGCCTGTAGCCCATCAGTGCAGCCCAGGCTGTGACAGTGCTGCAGAGTTAAGGCCTCCTCCTGCCCCGATGGCCCATCCACTCCTTTCTGCCTCGATTTCGATTTTGAGAGACGCCGCTGGTCTCCAGGGTGCTGCTTCCTGCCTGCTCAGCTCCCTCAGCTCCCGCCTGGCCTGCAGCTCTGCACACTTCGGAGCGCAACTCCTGGGCACTGAGCTCTCGCAGCCTGCTAGGGCCTGGCTGGAAATTTAGACCCACTCTGCCTGAGGAGTCCCGGTGCAATTCTAGATTTTCCTGATTCAGGCAGGAGGAAGGCAGCAGAGGCCACCAGGGCTGGGCTCCTGATGACTCCTTCCCAGCTCACTGCCGCACCTCTTCTCCGGATGACACTCCCTCTTAGTAAGACCGCCAGGCCCTCGAGTCCACATGGGAGCCCGGTTTCTGTCTCCCCGGGAGCAGCAGGTCCAGGTTGCACGCTGTGACTCAGCCCAGCCGTTTGTCGCCCCTTCCCGAGCCTCGGCATCTGATTGTTGGCTCAGAGCACTGCTGGGAACAATAGCAGTGCATTAAGCTGTTCATGTTTTCTTCTGTCTCGTCCAGTTAGAAGGCCCGGGGCGGGTCTGTGTTTCCAATGCCTTCGTGCATTTGCCATCAGAAGGAAACTAGCGTGTAAATACTGCGCTGCCGTAAACCTGGAGTGCCTTGGCTTCCTCTAATTCTTTTAAGTTCTCCGCATCCTTCAGACTGTGATTTACAATCACAGCAAAGGTTAGCCTGTAGAGGCTGCCATGTCGGTGATTCATTGTTGTCTTTATGATCAGGCCCTTTCTCTCTAACTAGATTGAATAGTGAATGCTCAATGATATATATGTATATATAATTTTTTGTAGTGTTGGGGTTGAACTCAGGGTCTTTGTACTCAGCTACACCCTCAGCCCACTTTTAAATTTTGAGTCAGGACCTCCCTAATTTGCTAAGTTGTCCATACGGGGCTCAAACTTAAGATTCTCCTGCTTCGGCCTCTCAGAGTGCTGCGATTACAAATGCGCACCTTCTTGCCCGGCTAACAGGGCTGCATTTTAACTTACTTTATTCATTTCTTCATCTCCTTGTCCCTCAACTCTTATGACAAGACAGATTCTTGTCTGTCCACTAGATTGATAGTAATTACCTGAGTATATCACATGTGCCATGTCAGCACTGCGG